GCTGACATCAGTGGTATCTAAAGCAGTAAACAGAAAGCAGCCATGTCTGTTCTTCCTGTACTAGGGGGAATCAAAATAAAATGCTAGTCAGATGGAGAGCAGCGAAGCTGGTAAGAAACTCTAAACTATTCAGAAAAGTTGTTGATGTAGAAAAGTGACTCTGAAAATGTTTAAATGTTCAGGTAACTAGAGCACTGTGTTTGCAGATCCTTCTGGAGAGAAGAATCCTATTTGTAACTTGCACAGCAATGCTTCAAAATAATCTAGCATTTTGTAGGAAAGAAATTAACTGCATTATCTTTTTATTAAGGAGTCTCTTTGCTATAGTTAATCAAGAATGACTGTACAAGTTCTCAACAACTTGGCTTTTTTCTTAGAAAATAACAAAACAATACCTCAAAAATGTTAACTTCTGAATGCATTTTATTCTGAGTTACTGTTTCTAATAGAAACTGAGCAATTGAGTCCTGAGACTTGCTGTAATCATTTATAAATAAGCTCAGGTTAAGGCATTGACTTATACCAGTCCTAGCATGAATATGAATATTGTTGCAATTATTTTTTAAGTATTAGTATCCTAGAGGGCATTCTAAAATGAGACTTTAGTGCTTTCTAAAAGACTGTTACAAGGTTCATATATTAGGTTGAAAATAACTTCACGTCTTTAAAAGACGTTTTCGTTCTCAGAGAACTTAAATCGGTTCTTGTAAACACAGAGGATGGTATTTAAAATGTCAGCCAAAGCAAGCAATCTGGCATCAGATGCTCCTTTTGAGGGACAAGAGTGCAAGGGCAAGAAGTGATACACGCTGTAACTTTGTAAAGTGCATACATATGTGAACATTTCTCTCCCTAATGGGCTATTGTGTTGTGATGTGAATGTTGATGTATCATGGAAGAAATGAATACTACTCTCCCTTCCCTTTCAGACAATCGAAGGAAAGTAGAACCGCCTCTTGGAGGTCATGATCCTCGAACAGCAGTTCAGTTAAGAAGCCTCAGCACCGTTTTAAAGCGCCTCAAAGAAATCATGGAAGGGAAGAGCCAGGTACTTCTTCTGAGGCATTTGTAGGCCAAACTATCTAGAAACTGAACTGTTTACTGGGCTTCTCTGAGCTTAATTTTTAGATACATCACAAGGATTTTTTCAGATATTTGAAGGATGAGTGAATAAATTCAAAAATCATTGTGTGAGTGCAGGGGAAACAAGTTGACACTGACTTTTGACATGTTAAACATCTGTCATATTGTGGGAGTGAAACATTGCAGTTGCTCAGCTTCTTGAACTTGGACAAGATGCTCTCATTTTAGACTCCTTCCCACTTCTGTATTACCTAATCTAGTATTACCTGATGGTTTTCTCCCTTGAAGGCTAACCATGGGCAGGCGAAACACATTGACTGTCACAAATAGTAATGAGAATTCTAAGGATGAATTAAATCTGCTACTTACTGTGGTAGTGATTGGTCAGCAATATTTGCTTGAAAGGCTTGTCCTGGTAGTCAGTTTTGATTCAGCTGGATAAGGGTCTGGTGGTTGCTACTGACTTTCTGATTTCACCTCCCTCTGCTTTGTTGGACCATGCCTTTAAGAGGAGGATCTAGTTGAGAAAAGAAGCCACAACTATTTATACGTGATGATATAAATAGCTGTATCTGGGAGCAAGACACAAGGCAAAAGTACATTTAATTAAATTGAATGAAGAAGAAAAAGGCTTTTGGCTTGGTAGCTTTTACAGGTAGACTTTGAGTAAACTCACTTAGCTTCCAGTGCTATTCTGCTTGTAAGAGTAACTTTACTTTGGTAGAAAGGGTGATATTTTTGAGAGTGAAACAAAAGCCTTTCATTGCAGTAAGCAGGGCATTGAGTGTGGCCTCTACTAGTATTTCAGTTTGTGGCAGCTTCTGAAGGTGGCATCTTTGAAGCTATTGGAGAAGTGCTCAAACAGACAGGAAGCAGCAGTAAATGAATATGTCTAGATCTTTCTCTGAAAGCAGTATGTTAGTTGTCAGCATGCTAACTTCTGTACAAATGGTAATGCATCACTGCCCTTTACTGCAGCCATGTCTTGCTTGAGTTACTCCAGGCAACAATATCTTCCTGCTGTGGACTTGGTCTGTCTCTTCAGGAGACCACTTTACTGTCGTAGAAAGCATGTGTCAGATCCTGGAAGATGCTGCTCTAATCAACCTCTGCTGCTAACGGGGGCCAGACTTCTGTTCTGAACCCTTCCTTGTAGGCTGTTCTTGTCATGTTCTTGTCAGTGTTGGCTCTGACTTGAGCAAGGCAGAGAGCTGGAAGGTGTCACCAGCAATTGCTGGGTTTCTAAACACCCAGTCATGTGCAAGTAGGGCAGAGGCAATGCGGGAGAGATGGTGGGCAGAGGCACTGCTGCTTGGAACAGCTGCTCTCCGTGTGACAGAACCAGAGACTTGGCTTATCATGCAGAGCTGCAGCAAAAACTGTTAATCGGCATCCACTGCAGCTTTGCAGCAGTTCCTTGGCAAAGCTCTTCACTGCATCTTTCTGTGCTTGAAGCTTGGTGTTCATCTTAATTTCTAGACTCTCTTGAGTACTAGACTGCCTTGAGTAGTCTTCAACCTCTTCCTGTACGAGTTTTTTTGGGTGAGGACAGCACGAAATTGTTGTCTTGTTGATCATAGCTGTTTTGGTCTCAAAATTGATCTGGCAGCTATGTCAAGCTCTACTTTGAACATGCAAAAATAAACCGCAATTCGGGGTGGCCTTTTTTTTTTGGTTATGTGAAAATCAGAGTACGGATCACCTTTCTTCTCTCTGGCTGTTTTGAGAAAATTCTTGCAGCACTCTCATTTCCTAAGAAAAACCCAGAGTATTCAGTCCCTCTGAAAAGGCTTATTGCCAGAACTGAACTCTAGCAAAGAGTGTTTCACAGTCAGAGCTATCATGTGACCATCAGCTGTTGTCTCCATCCATGGTAATTGTAGCTGGTGTGCTCAGAATCGTAATTGAGAGGTTTGTCTTGCTCTGTTTATAGCTACAACAACAAATAGAAGTTTTAACTCTTTGTTTTCAAGTCTTAAAAACAAGACCAAAATTCCTGTAGTTGCACCCATGCTGTAAATCAGTATGTGTCGTTACCTGCTGAATGTGTATTCCACGGTTGTTTTCACATGGCAGGTAACCTGGAGTTTTGAAACGACATCAATCTGGGACACAGGGTTTTACAACTGTTTACTGAGGTTTTGAAGAATTTGATCATATAACAAAACTTTTTACATGTATCCTTTCAAAGTACATCCCAGTATTAGCTGTTGAAATGATCTTCCTGCACTGATAAATCCTGATAACTTGATTTATGCCTGGATAACAGCTTCAACTAATGTGTGGGTTTTGGTTTTGGTTGGTGTTTTTTTTTTTTTTTGTAAACTGTGCTAGTTGAGGGCCTGTAATGAGAAGGAAGAGCAATCAGTACTTCATATGTTTGTTTCTTTTTGACTTTTATCTAGAGCTCGTGATAGTTTTTATCTGCTTTGCTTCCACCTTGGATCAAGAAAGCAAAGGCTTACTAGATTTATTCTGACAGTTAAGAATTCTCCCAGCCTTCTGGCTCCTTATAAAACTACATGAAAAATCCTTTCTGTGCATGTGTGCTTATACACATACACAAGAGCGTGCACACACACAATATGAAATTGTCCTTTTTGTGTGCACAGTCTATAAAGCAATCATGAATCTAAACATGCTTTTTTATTTACAAAAAAAAGTTTTTCTCTGCTGCCTTCCCTTGTAGGACAGTGACTTAAAGCAGTACTGGATGCCTGACAGCCAGTGCAAAGAATGCTATGACTGCAGTGAGAAATTCACTACCTTCCGGCGGAGGCACCACTGTCGACTTTGTGGGCAGATCTTCTGTAGTCGATGCTGCAATCAAGAAATCCCTGGAAAATTCATGGGCTACACAGGTAGGGTTTATCTGTTGAGAAGCAGAACATTCTCTGTGTGCTCAGCTCTGTTTGGACTACTGCATTTTAGATACTGGCATCTGCTAGAGAATGCTGTACAGGTCTCTAGTGGGCTTAGAAATAAGCAAAATGCATCAGAGGACCTAATTCTACCAATTTCTTCATGCACAATGGTGGATTATGCCATGCCTGCTTATTTTTACCAACGCTACGTCCATGATGACGAAACAAATATGGCCACTATTTAACAAGGGTGTTCGCTACAAAAAGTGTGCTCAAGTAAAAGTTGCTTTTAGTAATGGTAGTTTTAAAATGTAGTGAGCCACATGTTCTAATTGAGGGTGAGCGAAACTTTCAAATACCAGTTACCAAACTCTAGGCATCTCCTGATGGAGGTAATGATTTCCAGACATCAGCTGGTATGTCATATCTGACTGGCTATTGTTGTACCATGATTTCAGTGTGCACATGTGCTCTCTCCCCACCTCCACAACCTGTCTCTCTCTTACTGATCATGTGTTATGCATCATTTGACTTGGAGAAATTCCCTGAGTGTATAATTATTTGGGGTTTTGCTCTTTAAGGGAATATGAGAACTAGACATAAACTTGCAAAGAGGTTTTGAAACAGGAAATCCTTCTTTTCCCACCACTACACACCTCTGATCCTGTAGGAACAGAGTACTATTTGTTCCTGTTCACTTACGCTCTCTGGTTCCCCTTTCCATAGGGGATCTCCGAGCCTGCACTTACTGCCGCAAAATAGCCTTAAGCTATGCACACTCCACAGACAGTAACTCCATTGGAGAAGACTTAAATGCTCTGTCAGATTCTGCGTGTTCTGTATCAGTGCTGGATCCTAGCGAGCCACGCACACCAGTTGGGAGCCGTAAAGCTAGCCGCAACATCTTTCTGGAGGAGGATCTAACCTGGCAAAGGTAAGTGAATGGCTTCATGCTGAGCTCCAGAATCTTAACTGTGTTTTCAGGCAGGCTGACACCTGCCTAGGCAAAAGCTGGTGGTTTCCATCTAGGAAACTTAGAAGTATATCTCCCGTGAAAAGAATCTAATCCTGTGCTTGCTTCTAATATTCTTCTCTTCAAGTTGAAATGTGGAAACTTTTCTAGTGGAGTTTTAAATTATTTGCAGTTCTTCCTTTAACCTATTGGATCAGTGATTCTATACCAATGACAGAGCAGGCTTTTAGCTTCAGAGTTTAGAAAGACAAAACCAAAAAACATCCTTTCTAACCACCAGTGTATCAAGAGGCAAGTCAATGGAACACTGATGCTTTACCTGTCAGGTTTTGGATAGGGCAAGAGAATATAAGAGATGCTGTCTGTGTAAATAAGAGTGAAATGGTGGAAGTAACCACCTGTTTCAACTGAAGTGGGATTGAAAGGACAGCTATAAAGCTTCTTTGATCTCCTTTCAAAATGTATTTCTTCTTATTGCTCTTGAATGAGGGGATCTTTATTTTTGGAAGATGAATAAAAGAACACTGTACTTCTCAAGTGGTATGCAAGTTAATTTCTGAGGACCTTGATTTAATTTAATGTGGGGGGAGGCAGAAATAATCAGATGTGGTGTTTGTGCTCATTTCCCTAAAAACAGAAGAACAGGCAGATGTGAAACTACTGAGGAGGTCTTGAGTCAGAGCCTTTCTTTAACTGAGGGGTAGTGTTAGTGACATGTGCCTCTCAGCAGATCTCTTCTGGTGGTTCTGATAGTATTAATAGAAAACCCTCAAAACCAGCTGTCTTTAGAAAATGCGCTGACTCTTGCTTTGCATGTTGCTTTTCAGAGTATGGTGCTCCTATATGGAAGCAATTAAATAATTGGCCTAGGCCAGCTTTAGGCCTAAATAAAGGCCTGGTTTAATGTCATGGTCATCTAAAGCAGTAATGTTGCAATGCTTGGGATAAATAATACCAAATTTTGAATTAGGGAATAAGTATGTGCGCTTGGAATGCTTCTCTTCAGGTGTACAAAATAACAGAAGGTATCATTAGTTCTGTCTTCTGATGTGTTATTAGTGTCTTTATTATGGCAATTCAACAGCTTGTAGACATGAACATGTAAAGAAAATATTTATATCTTTTATTTTGGGCAGCTTGTAGCACTCTAGAAAAATACTGCCTATTCTTGAGAGGCTGATAGCTCTTTCTATGCTAGAACACTTAGTCTTGTTGGGAGACACAGAGTAAACATGGGCTGCTTTTGTGAGTGAGAGGGAGAGAGATTGAGATTAGGTAGTTTATTGTTGCTTGAGGAGGATTACATTTTTCTTCAGTGCTTGTTGCTCTTAAAATGTAAAGCTTTGCAGTGGGCTACAGTGCTTTTTTTAATACTGCATTTGGTAAGTTCCTGATTGACCTTCAGATGTTTGAACTCAAGACATTGAACTTAAACGGCATGGTGGAAAGTGGCAACTCGCAGCTTCTTAATGGAAGCAAAGTTTTTTTTTCTAATATGTGGCTTCTGTGTGAGAAGTAGTTTGCTTCAGAAGAAAACTTAGGAATTGAGTCTCTTCCCAAAATAATGTATCTGAGATAAGACTCTTGCCTCTCCTGCTGTCATATGCTGCAAAACAGTGAGAAAAGCATTTAGGGGAGTGATGCTGTATTTACTTGTCTGACGTTGCTCTGCTCTTTGCACAGTTGGAACATAGAGGCATGGGCTCCTGCTTTAACTAACTTGAAGGACCGTGTCCTTTAAAAGTGAAGGAGTGATGTACTCTGGGCAAGTACAGCTACTCAGGCAAAGTGGTATTGTGTACATTTTCTCATGAAGAGCATTTATCGTGCTAGTAACATGTCTACATCCTAGAAGATAGCCAGTACGGCTGTATCAGTTGGAGTGTAGTGGCTTATATCTCATACAGTTTTGCCAGTAGGAATTTATATTGATGGTGTACGAACATCTGCTCTCCTTCCTCCTGGGGTGGAAGGAAAGGGAGGGCAAAGGTGATAGTGATCAGGTTAAACAATTACAGAAGGTTGTCAGGCTGTCTTGGTAAAAGCTGTCTAGCAATAGCTATAGATAGCATTGCTTGGATTGCAAAGATGATGTGTTGGAGAGATGGGGGCAACGCCTCTACCTCCAAAGCACGGAATAGCAGCCTGTAAGGAAGGAGGATGTGTAAGAAAGGGATATAGGGGAAGAGGGCGGGAGGGCAGCATAATATGAGAAGTGGGAAGAGGCTGTATTGTCCAAGACTTCAGTCTGAAGGGAGAAAACTTGAGCACTGCCCTCCAGATATCATTAACCTACAGATGGGGAAAGATTTCCCTATTCCCTCATTGATTTAACAATGCTGGGTGTGAATGACAGGTAACGTTATAATTAACTGTATTTTAATTCCAGCTGTTCAGATGCTGCTGCATGTGGCAAATCTCTCAAACATCTGTAACATGCTCCTTTTCCTTGCAGTTTGATTCACCCAGACTCTTCAACTACCACGTTGTCTGCACGCCTTGGATCTGTCCAGGAGGATGCAGGGAAGTCGCCAGCTAGGAACAGGTAAACTAATCATATCTGGGTAATTTCTGTTCTGGATGCACTCCTAGCCCACTCTTCAATGTAAAGTCTGTATTTTGGGGCTTGTTTTTACTGAGCATGCTGTTTCATGTCTAGAATGGGACACCCCATTACCCATATGTAACGGTAAGGAAAGACCATTTGTGTACATACTCATATTAATAAATGTACTACTTTTGAGGAACCCGTAGTTTGCTGCTCTGTCAGTCAAATAGAGGTGGGAGGAAGACAGAAAGGGAAGGAAGTGGCTAAGAAAGGTAGAGTTCTGAGGAAGCTGAAGAAAAGGGAGCAACAGAGACTTGGTAATGGGAGGCAAAGACTGAGGTCATGGAGGAGCAGAGGTGTAGTTTTTGTTTGTTTGTTTTGTGGTTTCCCTCCCCGCCCCCACCTGCTCCCTCTGCTCTTCCATTAGGTATAATCTTGTTTAAGTTACCAGGCTTCCTTAGGCTAAAATCCCATCATAGGTCTTTATGCAAGAGTACTAGAATGAACTTGGAAATGTTCATGAGAGCTTTAGTGTAAGTTGTGAATCCTTGAGCTTCATCCCACTAAATAGGCTGGTATTAGAAGAACAAGTAATTTCCACTTCACAGTGCTTCTGCTATGGTTCTGGTTACATACTTCCATTATGGTTAAATTGGGGAAATAAAGGTGAGGCAAGGATATGAGGAACAGAGCAAAGATTATCCAAATTTCAGTGTTGGAGTCAGGAGACGTTCAGAGACTTCTTTGCATTGGTGCTACAGGAATGCAGAATGTTTAGCAATTTGGAGGGATCTGGCAGGACCAGCAAAGACTAGGGAACTCAGCTGAGAAGGATGCTGGGTGTGCCTTTCAGGGAACAGGCTGCTTGGAGTTTTTATCTTCTGTGTGATGGGGACAGTTAGGAGGAGATGCACGCTGACTGTACAGCTGAGAACCAAAGATCTCACCTAGGGGGAGTAAAATACTGGTGAATAAATCAGTACCACAAATCAATTCTGGGCAAACATGGGAAGGAGTCCAGAGTTAAAAGTTCAATGCTAAATAACTGCAGTGACGTCAAGAAATGTCTTAAACCTTGAGGACGCTCTCCTGCTTCCTGTTTGAATTGATGTCGTCTATTTTAAAAGGCCTTTGCTGTTTGCTCACACATGCAGTAGTAGGAAGGTCTAAGCTGGACCTGGCAGGCCCAAACTGCTCATTCAAGTTAAATTTTAGCTGTCTGGCTATTCATGGCCTCACCATAGTACTTACCTGTCTGCACTCAAGTTTGAGAAGTAACAATGAGGTATAACCTATCTGTCAAAATTCTGAACCTGTGGTAACAAAGCTATTGGCTTTGGGCTAAGCAATGCTAGCCTTTAGATCTTGTCAAAGCAGCTGTACATGTTTCTTTGAGGCAATCTTGACCATGCCTCTTTCTAGACGAGATGAAGGAAAAAAGATGCAGGTTGAGTGCATTTAGATGCAGGTAGCAGAAGTTACTTAGTATTACTTGTTTTCCCTGTCAGTGGGGTATGTGTTGTTTTTTTTCTCAGACTGATTATTTATGGGGGAAAAAACGAGCTACAGTCAAATGTTGCAAGCGGAGGGATTCAAACTTCTTTGCAGGTGCTTCTCAAGGATAGGGATTTTCATTGCAAAATCTCCCCCTCTGTTTTTAGAAAATACAGTAAAGTCCCAGATGAAATTGGTGATGATAAACACAGATATGAAATCTGACTGTTCTAACTCTTGCTTAATGGCCTTTTAGACAAATTAAAAATGCGTGCTGCTTACAGGTAGGTGGCACAGTTAAAGTAGCTGTTGCGAAACAACTGGGAGGAGTGCTTGATGATGGACTTTGATGTCAGTCTCATCTTCCACATAAGAATGCTTTCTGTTAAGCTGCATAAGTCTGCCAGTTCTAACTTTGTTTAACTTGAGAGCATCTGAACAGCAGAAGACTGGCAGAGTTTTAGCCTGCCTTGAATGCCTGACTATGAGAGAAAGTTTTTGCTTATCACCCCTAGATGTATATGGATGTAGTGCCAACGTAGTTTCCTTTGATTCTGCATAAATGACTAAAAAGGACCTAAATAAAACCCTTTATTAGCACATATTCCTCCTCAAGAGACAGAGGAGGAAAAAGCAGTGATTTTGAGACTGTATCTTCAGTACCTACTTCCTTGCAGTACAAAAGCTGAAATAGGGTGGCATTGCTATTTCATGCCTGGGCTCAGCCACATCATCCATTGAGAATTCTTGGGAATAATTAAAGTGTCTGTTAGCCAGTTAGCAAGCTCTGTGAAGTTATCTGAGTTTCATTCCAAAGACCAGAGGCTGGCAACAGTTCTTAGCCAGTTTAGTCAGTTTAACTGACTAAACTCTTCAGTCAGTTTAGCACTGGCATTTTGAACTTCCCTGTTGCTGTATGCAGAAGTGTTTTCCATCCTCACTCCTTAGAGCTCTGTTAGCATGAATAGCTTACACTGCATGCTTTTTGCTGCTGCATGATGAGAAGTTGTACTCTGGTTATTCAGAGACTTAGTCTAGTTGTGGGATATTGGATCAGAGGGTTATCTGGATCTTGTATTTGCATTTGTAGCTTTGCAATGATTATTGCAAAATGGTGTGTTTGTACTGGAGTGCACAGCCAAGATTTCCTAACAGCTGGGCTAAGATCAGGTGGATGCTCCATATCGCAGGAAAATTGCCAGTTGGAGTGACCTCTAGCTTCAGCAGACAGTTTAGCCACCCTAGGGAACAGGTGCTCAAACTTCCAGACTCTGCAAGCTGTAAGCCATGTATTTCAGAGAGCTGAGGAGAAGGACTTTTAAATGGGTCAAAGAGAGGGGGAATCTCAGTGCCTTGTTACAGGGATCCTGGTGTTGCCTGCCCTTGCTGGCATCTATCTTGCCTCCAAACCACTGGAGTTTCTAATTACCCAGCATCCTATCCCTTTCCCAGTCTATTCAAATGCAGACATATAGGAATTGCTGTGCCTAAACTTAGTTCTAAGTGCTTCCTACAAAGAGCTTTACAAAAGTTTATGTTTAACTTAGATGTTCCAAAGCAATATACTTGCTTCCTAGGGATCCTTTCTTCTGCTTTCATGGTCGAGGAAGCTTTAAGCAGTAAGTCTGTACTGAGGAGTGAACAATGTCACAGGTTTAAGTTCCTTTTTAGCATGCTACAAGATCAATGCCTGCTCTGGTGAAGCACCGCACAATGAACACTTATGCTTCAATTCCTCTGTCTTCCACTACAGATCAGCCAGCATCACTAACCTGTCGCTGGATCGGTCAGGTTCACCAATGGTGCCTACCTATGAGACATCCGTCAGCCCCCAGGCCAGTCGCACACATTTGAAGGCAGAGACCAGCGAGGATGAGCGCAAAATCCTTCTGGTACCTTTCAGACTTCTGTTTGTCTTGCTCTGTGAAGGCAATGAAGTTTGCCTTTCTTGTATCATGCAGCAGGAGTATCTTCCTGCCTTTAAAGTCTCTTGTCTGAGCGCTCCTACCTGGACCCCTCCTCCAGGTGGTGCAGGCATGGGGAATATTAGACACTTTCATCTTCCTGAAACAAATCATAGTTTCATGTGGTGTTTGCATAAAAGTTTTACAGTTTTAGTCTTGGGAAGTGTGTTACGCAGTGTGGAGTTGGTGTATGGTGGCTTCTTGTGGGTTAAACCTGCCATGGTTGCAACTGTAATGCAATGACCTGATCCCGTATTTCTCCAAGTTCAGATTTTCCTTTTCATAGGCCACATAGTCAGAAACTTTAAATGGCTGCTTCAAAATGGTTGCACCATGATGAATGAGTTAAAGCTGTTACAGCTTATTGTGCCAAATATAACTTAGCCCCTCCCCTTGTTTGCAGAATAAATATAACATTTTGTAGAAAGTTGTAGTGATGTACTTGTTCGAAAAAAAATCAATGTGCAACAGTGTTCTGTGTAATCCTACTATCCCCTCCCCACAGAGGCAGTGTTGTAGGTGGCAGTTACTGTACAGTGTTCAGTAGAAAACTGTGTTTCTTTTCTTTGAGGGATGGGAAATGTTTCTAACAAATGGGGCAAAAAATATGCAGAGAAGGGAAGGGAGTGATTTTTCACACATTAAAAGATTCAAGATTGCTCCCCACTGCCAATCTAAAATTAGGAAGGCTAATTTCTGTGTTGTCAGGTACTTGCCTGCTGTCAGCAAAATGCATACAAGGGTGCAGAACTCCTTTCTAGGGTGCTCTGTAAATGGATAACCACGTGAGGGAGAAACATTTTTAAGGCACGTCTTTACACCACCCTGCCCTGTGTGTATATGTTATGTAGGAAAAATGAAATTTAAAATGGACCAAGGTGGTCAAGTCCCAGTGCACTTCAGCTTCACATTGTTTAATTTTTTGTCTGTTTCCTTCCTTGGGGGAGAAGAGGATTGGTAGTATTGTCTCTGTTTATGTAAGAGCAGAAGATGCAGTGTCAATTAATGTAGAATTTTCTGTGAACTCCCACTGTTTGTTTAATGCCCTTAGAGCTAACTCTATATTAGGAGTTAATTTAAAGCTTAACATATTCCATTCAGAAGACTAATGAACTTTGCTCTTGAAATAAAAGGTAGGGGAGGATGTACGTACGATGGGGTAAGCACATACTTCTGTGAACTAGAGGTCAAAATCCTTGAGTTGAAAGGATTTGCTGTGTTCTGCCACTTTGTCCGGTTTACTGAATTCACCATGTGAGTTAAGGGTAAACTACAAGGCAGCTGAACTGTGGAATCGTCAGTTGCATCAAATCTTGTGATCCTGTGACGTGTTCCATTACTGATCCATATATGGATCTTGACTCTATACCTGGTACGGAAGGGGACCTGCTGACGCTGGTTTTAGGATAATACCCAGGACAGCCACTGCTGGAAATAAAAGCAGAAAGCCAGTCCAGTAACAGAAGTGAAGCAAAACTGTTGGATCTCAGGGCATCCTTGGGAAAGTGCAATAATGTGGGTCTGGCAGTTAACTGGAAAGCTGAAACAAGTTAGAATTTAATTAAAGCTTTTTTTTTTTTTTTGCCCCTCTGTTACACAAAGATAGAACAAGTGAGGCATTTGAGACAGTGAGCTGCAGTGTCTCTTCTCCATCGGGGCACTCTGTTGCTCTCTCAAAATAATCCCAGGTCCCAGTTTCAGCTCTGCAACAATGGATTGTGCTGTGCCAAGTCAGGGTGCACATGGGAAAGCAAAAGGGGCCAGGTGTAGAGAGACAGCTCAGTCTAGATGGAGCATAGCCTACCCAAGAGTTGGCACACGTGCTTAACAGGCCCGAAAATGTTTGAGGTATAGGCTGAAGTGTTCCAAGTGGTAAGGGGGAGAGATCCACAAATTCAAAAATGGTTAATTGAGTTGGGAGGGGTACACACTTTTTTGCTTAGTGGCCAAAGCTAGCAGTGACTAAAAAAGCCTTGATATTGGACAATAAAAAAGGAATCCTTAATAAGAAATGGTATGCCAGAGCTTGAACATAGCAGTGTGCATTGCTGTGTCAAGTACTTGCTTTATATCTGGGCTTGATAATGGACTAGTATGCTTCACAAAGCCTAGGTTGAGCACAGATTATATAGAAAAACCCTCTTCCAAAGGATGAGTTTTCATTGTCCTCTATATTTACACACACCGCATGAGTTTGAGAATAGGGTGCAAGACGGCGGTAGTGAGGACATAAGTGTCTTGTAGGCAGTACAAAATCTTGCCACATTAAAAACAAAAACTCCTTAACTCTGAGGGTACCCACTTTGTTTTTTCCTTGTTCTCAACTTTATATAAAAAGAAGGATATAAGGAGCTGATCTCATGTCCGTTTGCTGTTTCTGTTTGCACCTTCGTATAGGTTGTGCAGAACGGCTTAGATTTGATGCCTGTTTGTGGAAGGCTCTTGATCTAGAAGCTGATCTGAGGGCTCAGGTTGATGCCCTTGAAACCAGTGCTAAGGTCAGACTAGTAAGTAACTTGCACATCTTCCTGTCCAGGACTCAGTCCAGCTGAAAGATCTGTGGAAAAAAATCTGCCATCACAACAGTGGGATGGAGTTTCAAGACCATCGCTACTGGCTGCGGACACATCCCAACTGCATTGTGGGAAAAGAGCTGGTCAACTGGCTCATCAGAAATGGGCACATAACCACAAGGTAACCCTGATGCTTTAGGACAGCAGGTATCTTCTGTCTCTGTGACAGGAGGTTGTGAGTTTTAGGTGATAAAGGGTACCTTACACGGCAGACATAGACCCCTCTGCAGGGAGATGAGAATGAAAGAAAATTCAGGTCTCTTCTTTACTGCCTACCAAAGCAGGTAGGGTTCTGAATCCGTGTGGCCCGAAGCAACAGGGCACAGGGGGCTGTCTGGTTTGGGAGCTGGTGTGGGAGGCAGCTTATGGGACAAGTATCACTCAAAGAGTTGGAGAACAGTGAGTGTATTACAAAGACTGTCCAAAAATGTCCACTGATACTCCAAAGAGCAAGTCTGCCCCTGAGATCAGAGATCACTAATAGTGTTTTGATAGCTAAATTTTTGGTGGGGCTGGCAGGCTCTTAACCTTGTAAGTGAATATAAAGAATCTGGTTTATTTAACTATGCGAGAGGAGGATAAAACTGAGATGGTTCTTAAGTGTAGAGCAACTACAGCAGAGCAGCAACTACAGTCCTCACTCAGCAGAGGTGCTCAGTATGTATAACTCAAGCTAACAATATTGGAGGAGCAAAACCAATATGTCTTAATCGTCTGTTGGACATCTCAGCTGAGTTTAGAGTATTGGCAGTCTCTTCATCGAGCTCCATACTTGAACCAGTACACTCTGCTGCCTCTCCACAATATTTTAAGTAGTATCTGGTTAAACATGACAATGGGATACTGATGAGTCAAATAGCACGTAGCAAATGACTCTTTCCTTTTGTAGCATGTTTGTACCATAAACCATGTGTGTTTAGAACTAGACTTAGAAAACCATCTCTACTCTTATACCTCCAGGGTCCAAGCCATTGCAATAGGACAAGCGTTGGTTGATGGACGCTGGCTAGAATGTGTCAGTCATCATGATCAGCTCTTCAGAGATGAGTATGCTCTCTACAGACCGTTACAGGTAAAAGGAGTAGGAAAGCTATGGTTCTTGCTGGGTTTGGTGGCTCATTAGAATCTTTTCTAATCCTGTTCTCAGCAGCCGTTGTATGATTTATAAACCAGCTGTCCTGTACAGAGAATTGGGGTCCAGGCCTTTTTCCTTAGTGGTTTAAAGCCTGAGGAAGCTGCATTTGCCCAGAAAGCTTTGGGGCTGTCCTCTATGGAGGATGAGTTGTTACATGTAGTGCTGCCTAAAGTGGAGGAAAGGGTCTCTAATCTAGGCCAGTGCCTCTCATGGCGGACATCTTCCACGGAGGTCTTGGAATGGCACAGTCTGTGCTTGTGGCAGCTGTGCTATCATGTGCATAATCTAGAATCTGTGTGCAGTTACTGGTGACTGAGACACAATGGTGGTCTTCTGTTTCAAATTTCTTTAAAAACTTCAAAGGATGGATATTTTAGATATACGGTATTGGATCTTCTTATATACTGTATTGGTAACCTTCTTCTGATCTCCAGTGATGGCAGTAATAAAGAATTCAGTACCTTAGCCACATGATGCAAGATTGGGAGGAAGTCTTTATCATTCCTCCCAGTTAGGACTGGCTAGCTGAGGGGGAGGCAGGGAACCAGTGACCAGAGATGCTATCCTACCGTATTTCATTGCAATGAAGCTTGCTGAGGGGTAAGAGCAGTCACTGGCCTGAGTGATTGGATTGTTTTTTTAACTTGAACAAGATATCTCTGTAGCCTGTTACCTGAAAGCATTCAGTTGAGTCTTCCATGTTCTGCAGCTTCTCACAATAAAGAATGGCTCAGCTGCCCCATGGACTTCAGTCAGTAAGCTTGCAGCCATTAGCATCTTGTCTTCCTCGTGCATTTCAGCTCTTGGCCACAGTCACATGGTCTTCCATTGAGATTGCTCTGGGCTTCATCTGGCACCTCAGCTAGTTAATTGCACTGTCTCAGTTTGCTAGTAAAAGCTTGCCCTTACCTAGCAAGTGTTTGCGGACCCCTGTTTGTAACTATTTGTAAGGGGCTTATGTTATTCAAGGTTTAAAGCCAATTCTTGTTCTCATCTGCTGATAGCACTGTCTGATCTCATTTCTCCTGGACAAAGAGTCAGGAGAAACAGTGTTGTTGACTCAGTTGCTTGCTGCACTCACTGTAGCCAAAGGAATGATAGTGAGAACTTCCTCTTGAGGTGACTGGAGGCATCAGGATGGCTGATGGAAATTGCTTAGATGCTCTCCAGGTTCTCTGGCACTTTAGCCAGACTTTGGCTACACAGTAGCCCCAGCTAGAGCCTGACCTGTGAGTGAAGCTCTTAGAGCTACTTTAGTCAGTCACAGAATTGCTCCAGTAACTTAGAATTAGCCTCCACCAAAACCTGCATGTGCTGGTTTCTGGGTAAAGGATATGGTCATCACCCAGCTTGGCTGGGGATAGGAAGCATTCAAAACTGCTTAGCTGGATGTGGTGACAGAAAATGTGCAGTAGAATAAACTTGTCCTTTAGTGCCACTTAGTCACAACTTGTGTGGAGGTGGGGAGGAGGCAGAGACTAAGCACGTGGGAAGAGTAAAGAAATACTCGTTTCCGGTCTCAAAGAGTTCCTATTTCATGCCAAGGCGGGTGGCTCTATGACTAACCTGGCTCAGCCCACTGAGAGTGTCCTCTGATTTTTAAAATATCTGATCTGCATTTGTAGCAGGCTGCTTTCTAAGGCTGCTTAATATTTCAGCAGAGCTGCACTTTAACACCTTTTTTTCTTCCTTGTCTTCTAGAGCACAGAGTTCTCGGAAACCCCATCTCCAGATAGTGACTCTGTGAACTCTGTAGAGGGGCACTCTGAGCCATCCTGGTTCAAAGACATCAAGTTTGATGACAGTGACACAGAGCAGATTGCTGATGAAGGAGAAGATAACTTAGCCAGTGAGTTTCACCTGAGTCTTGTTCTTACTCTGCCTTCTCCTATTATCCCCAGTCTTTTGGGACGTAGTAGTTTAACCATGTCTTGCTTTATGTGTGTGTGTGTTTGTGTGTGTGCACATGGGGCTGTAAGGATCTAAGCAAACTATAACGTAGCTAGTCCTCCTGTTTCTTACAATGGATACAGTATTTTGTATTTAGTGGAACTGGTAAAGCTTCATACTTCTAATGGAGGAGAAGCATGTAAATTGCTGCCTTCTGTTTCTCAGGCAGACTTCTACTTGATTTGGGCCCTATAGTAATGCACTAAAGAACGCCCAATATGTCAGCATGCACACATGAAGATAAGATTAGAACTATGAAAATACTGTATTCCTATAGTATTGCACACTGGTCTTTATGTATTAAAGACAATTTTTCTCCTCTCCGGTACCCTCATAATACCCATTTGAACCCTTCTCCTCCCCGTATCTTCCCCCTTACCCAACACTAAAAGACTCCGCCAGCCCTAGCAAGCGCACTTCAGTCAGCAGCTTCCAGTCCACAATGGACAGTGATTCAGCCGCCTCCATCAGCCTGAACGTGGAGCTGGACAACGTGAACTTCCATATCAAGAAGCACTCCAAGTACCCACATGTGCCCCCTCACCCTGCCGACCAAAAAGGTATGAGGTAGTCACCAGCTGGAGTTGCACATGATGGAGAGCTGGGCCCTAATAATACTGACCTATTTGGACACTACTTTTGTAGCTGTCTTACAGAGGGGGAAATACGATATTTAGCTGGCACTCACTTATAGTTTTGATGTGCTCTGAGGAGGCTCAGTAGACCTGTTGAAACACCTTCTCTGCAGAGTGTGTAACTTCCCCTGTGACTTTCTCTTTGCAGTTGAAGCAAAGTCTCCTGCTCATACATAATAGGGCAGATCCACATATACAGTTTCTGGCTAATTGGGGTGGAAAAAAATCCGTGCATAAACCAGTTTGATATGTGTCTCTATAGTTTGAGATTAAGCTGGAAAAGCAAGCAAGAAAAAAAACCCCAAACAACAAACAAACAAAATTAAATTGGAAGAGCTCTGTGCTTACTTCTAATTGTACCTTAATAAGCTTACATTTGACGGAAGAATCTTACCGATGAGCAGTAAGGCCTAACTTAATCCATATATATAACATTTCTTCAAAAGAGAACACCTACTTAAGCGAAGTATGAATAAATCAAATATTCACTGTTGAAGACTTCTTTTGAAAGTTTTTTCTCCTAAATAAGTATTAAATTGAAAGACTTTAACTATAAGCAAAATCCTTATGGAAAAAATAATGTGCCTGCCTGTTGACAACTGCATTCTCTAAATTGGACAAGGGCTGACTGAAACCAGGGCTTGCCACTGGCTTGGGTCTAGTATATTCTAGTTGCTTTACATGCTGGGTAGCAATTGATGTCTTTGCTCTGCTTCCTTAGCTAAGGTTACATCAGCTTTGTAGACTTCTATCTTTGGCTGCTTCTAAGGAGTTTCTTATTCTTAATTATTGTTTCACCCCACCCTTTCAGTATTTCCAACTTTAAAAGATGATCCAGTGTTAAATGATTTGGACTCCTTCTAATGAATTCGTCCTTCCATAAAGTCTAACGGAGCTCTTCTGTTATTGTGAATCAGAATGCAAGACTTACCTTATGCTTGCATACAGATTGCATTTTCTGAAACTGTGAAATGGTCACTGAAGAGGGTGAGGGAGGAGAACTGGTCACAGCTGATTTTCAAAGTGTGTTAGACATGGGAGAGAGTGAGGCAAATTAGAGGGGGCATTTATCAGTGCCTATTGTAGTCACCTTTTGTTATTTGCTAGAAATATGTCTAGAAGAAGGGAAATCTAACTGCTTATTTTTTCCCCCAAAGAGAGGACCAGAGCATTCGGAATTTGAGTTGATGTCAGATGACTCACCAGTAGGGACAGATGGTCAGCACTACTGACACCAGCTTGTTATTGGTTGCTTTCAACTTGTTTCCAGCTCATACCCTAATCAAATGAAAAGCTAATGCATCTGAAGAGAAGGAAAGGTGTGAAGAGGAAGAATATATCAATGAATTCCTTTTAGCAAGGAGGGATGCTGGATTTCAAGCTCCAGGTGTGCTGGAACAGGCCCAGGTGTGCTGCAGTATCTATGAATTTACAGCTGTAGCAGGTTTATCTTTATCAGTGTGTGTTGGCAGTAAAGCAGGCAGTAGTCAGTTTGGCTCTGGCCGGTGTTAAAGGACTTGTAGAGTGATAATTCTGGTTTCAGACATATCTTGGTCTTTGTCTCCTTATACAAAGAGTAGTACATGATGAGGGGGAAATGTAAGAGAGCCTGCCTCTCTCGGAAACTGTTTACCAAATCAAGGCTTCTCATAGCCAGAACTGAAGCTCTTGTGAGAAAGATTTTGATGATGGAGAGCTCAGAGAAGATCAGCAGAAAAGGCAAGTGGTGAGGGGACTGAAAGGAGAGAGACTTCTGCCTTTGAATTATATATGTTGGCAGCATTCTGCTATCTTTGGTGAATCTCTGCTGACTGGTGTTTGTTATCTGTTCCTGAAATGTGTGGTCTCTTAACCAGGTTATTCTGTAGGTAGTGTAATTCGTAGCAGAAAACTGGGAACAATTCCTTTTAAGACAGTGGATTTCCCTTGAGGGGAAAGTATCTGTAATATGCCCAGAACTGGGATAGGGTGGAGGTGTGGTCACTAAAATGCACTGTGGAGAGGTAGGTATTATCCTGCAGTTTTTTGAAAAATCTGTATCCTCTGCAAATACAGAGAACTTACTGTACATCTCTTTTTGGATTCCTGGCATGAGAGTCTCTAGAGGAAAGACCTAACCAGGGAGCAACAAGTTAAAATGAATGACAACATCTTGAATAGCAAGAAACACTTCCAGGCAATAGGGAGACTGAAATCTCATAGGTACTTAGATGTTTGTTATTCAAGGCCTTAAAAAATTAGGTGGGCAAAACCCTACAGTGCATACTGCAGTGCCTAGAGTAGTGGAATAGATGACTTCCAAAACTTTGTTCTGGAAATATTAAAGTTGGAGTGCAAAGACTTTCACCTTGTGTTCCTGATTTATCCTGGCTATATTCAACAAAAGGTGCCATCCAGGATGTTAGAGTATCACAATGATTAAGCAGCCAAGACTAGATAGTTAAGCTTCTATATAAAATGGGATATGGTTATTTTAAGAACAGAGTACTGTAGTCAATCAGCAACAAGGTGTATTTGCTGCTGTCAGGGAGCAGTAACTTCCTTACGACCATTATAGACACATGTATTTGGCTTGATTTCATTGGAATTGTCTTTTGTCCTTAGACTGGATGACAGTGACTTAATTTTCTTTGAAATAATGAAGTAAAACTGAAGATCACACCCACCTTTTGAGGCTAGTAACTCAATTTCCTCACAACTGTGTAAATTAGTCATTGGGGGAGGACTGACAGGACAAAACATCAGTGCTAGAAGTGCAGGTCAACTTGATCTAAGGGGTTAGTGGGTTTCTTTAAATGATTAAGGGATATGCAATTTCCACCAGTCACAGAGGTCAGCTGCTTTGAAGCAATAGCCTGTGATGTACCAGCTGTGTTTTAGAACAGTGGTTTGTATATAGTCTGAGTCTAATGGCAGGACTTCTTGTGATGTTATAGGCTGACTAATGTCTGGTGTGTTTCCATGAAATTCTAGTGACTTCAAGTTAGCTGGCTTGTAGTATCTTACAAGTGAGTATAGTGACTCATTTATAGTATCATTTGCCTAAAGACAATGGTACTTTATAGTGTGTATCAAAATAGGAAACAAAGTAAGATTGCTTTCTGCATTTAAATTGGGGGAAGAGATTAGGTGACTTATTTTAAATGTGGGGTTTAGTTGCTGTTTTTAAAGAGATAGAGTTATCAATATGGGAAACTTTATTTTCTAAATGTCCTTGCAGCCAGATATCCTTGATCCTGGTAGCAGGTATTTTGGGTAGTTAGTTTTTGATGCCTGCATCTGTTTAGGAGGGGGAAGGAGAAGAGGATCTGCGTAACCATGACACAGTTCCTTATCACCGTTGCTTGCCAAGGCTTAGCGTGCCATTGGCAGGAGCCCTTTTGGTGCACCTTCTTTTGAAAAGGTGCACCTCAGTTTTCAGTGGATATCTGTGGATGCATGTTTGTGTATGTAGAGGAAAAGCTGTGGTTGCTGGTCAGTCTGTTTTGATGTTTAACCAGAGCAATCTGTAAGGTGTATAAAATCTGTACCTGCTGGTTTCCGTTGGAGACCTGTGGATTTCTGTGTGCATTGTGGTATTTGCTTCCAATGATGCCCTTGAATATCAGACCTAGGAATTTGTATGTTTTGGGGTGGGGTTTATTGGTTCTTTTTTTGTTGTGTTGTTTTGGTGAAGCTGTTCAGGGGATCTTGTAAGATAGTATCTTGATAGCTAACTGCTTGTAGACAAGGCTACAAAATATGCTACAGGAACCTCTCCCGTTCCCCCCTCAACGTTCTGTGGAGCATGATGCATGTAGGGATGATGTGAGGTAAGAAATGTGCATGTTAGCCATGCTCACCATCTCAAACTCACACCTATGAGTGTGTTATCTGTCCAGTCTAGGAAGAGGTGTCTTACCTTGTCAGGAACCTCCTCTGGGGCACAGTTGGAAGCAAAGTTATAGGAGGTGAAGCTGTATTGAAGAGAAGTGTTCCTGGTTTGGAGGTGCCATCTGTCTTTGTCCAGAGCATAACTAAGGTGAGGTTTTAGCTGGGGTTAACTCCTGCCTTGGCCATGCCAGTCAGGGATATGTGTCAGACCTAATTTGAGTGTGCTCACAGTCAGAGCTGCTGCCCTGAGGCTGTAGCAAGGCAGAGGGGGATGGAGGTGCTAGTATACATGCTCATGTTGTGGGTACAGCATACCATGACTTTCTCTAGGTAGTCTGTGGGGTTGTGGGTGAATGAATGCTGAGGGTGAGCCAGCTTTTATCAAGCAGTAGGTTGCTTGTAATGCTAAACTCTTCATCTAAGCAAGAGATGAAAGGAATCTGCAAATAACCATCAAGCTGCAAGGGAGGCTTACAACTTCTCTTTGGTACATTGATCATCTGTTGAGTATCTGTTTGCAAACTGGGCAACTGCAGACAAGCTCAGCTTTTTAAACTGGTGGCATGTAAGGGGTCTCTTTGAGTGTTGCTGTTCAGAGACTCGTGATTGCTTGTGTCCTGTCGATTTTCTGTTGCTTTCTGTTGGTGTCTGAAAGCTGCCTGGCTTTGCATTCTGTTTGTGGCAGTAGGTCTGGACCGTTCTCAGGAAAGGGGATAAAGGGTTAGCTTCGGACTTTGGATCATCACGCTATATAAGCAATAGGGCTATTGCTCTTGTTTTCCCACTGTTTAATCCCTTTTTGTAGAAGCAAGGAACCCACTAAAGGCACAACAAGCTAATGGCTTCTGGAGAAAAGAACCTTTTTGTGGACAGCCAGCCTGCATGAAAGGTCAAGATCTAGCAAGCTAAACAAGTGTAGTAGATGGAGCTTCATCCTATTTCCCATATGTAAAGTGATATATAACTCTTGCTTTCCTTTGTTCCTGGGAGTCCACCTCTGTCAGCATGGATTCCTCAAAACATTTTAAACTGTTTTAGACTTTAGAATTCTAGCTTTTGAAAGGCAGGCTGTCTTTTGTTTCCCTCACTGTGTGAGATGAATCTTACGGCTGGTCTCTCCCTCAGTCTGAGATATTCATTGGAGCATGAGAGCAAAATGGCTTCTGAAGCTGCATTTTTTTAGACCAGAGCGAGGAGGCCGTTCCCTCTCTGGACATTCCCACGGTGTCTGCTCACAGCTTAACACATTTGTATTCGGATCTAGAAAAGTGTGGTGTGGGTCAGTTGGAAAAGCAGACTCTGAACTCCTAGTTCAGTCTTTTGCTCGTGTCTACTTCATTTGTTTTGTTTCTTCACAGTAATAAGTACTATTTTCTTGTCGTCTTAGAACTTTTTGATAGAACAAGAATGAGAGGATATTCTTGTCTTGAGCACTCATCAAGCTGTTGCTAAATTGGTGACTAAACACTTAGATGAGTAATGCTGCTTCTTCTGGTGTGGGCGTGTACATTGTAATTATATGGGCGCACCAGTGTAACCTGTCATTTTTTTGTCTCCGCCTATCTCCCTCTTCTTTCTTCTTTCAGAGTACTTGAATCCTGAAAACGGAGGGCAGCAGATGTTCTCTATAAGTGATGCTTTTATTAAAGGTAAGGAGAAACTTCAAATGTTGCTGTTGTGCGGTTTTAATATGATGATGAAGACTCCTCAATACTCCTTTAATAGGGCATTGACCCTTAAGAAATATTTACTTGACAGTAAATTTAAACTTATTTGTGGCAAAACCGATATATAAATTATACTCTAACTTTTTTGAATGCACTTTCAAGCTTAAATTTCTTTCACTTCTCAGATTTCTTCATTCAAAAGAACTCAAAGAAAAGCTTTTACTTTTTTTTTTTGTGTGTAAGTGGCAAGTCTGTTCACAACTTCCCCACCCACAAACTTATGTAACAGATACCGATTTTAACTTTCTGTGCAAGCAAATGAAGATGTGATATGATTAATTGCACTGCTTCTACAGAGTACCTTAAAGCTTCATCTCTTAAGTCTTTCTGGGTTTCCTGTCGTCACCACCACTACCGCTTCTGAAATGAAAGGCCATTAGAAGTAGTTGTGAGTTTTAAAACCCATGTGCCTTCCAATATCGTGGCCAGGTGCACTTGCGGGCTTTTTTCTTCCATTTAATGCTATTGATTTTGGTGAGGTCGTAAGAGGAGGAAATGAAGGGGAAACCCCAATGTCTGTGCAGCCAGAAAAATAAAGTCTCTGATTAAACTGATGCGTAGTTTTTAACTGAGCTTTTGCAGGAGAAAGGAAGGGGGGGAAAAAACAACGTAACTTCTGTGAATCTCCTACACAGCTAATTTTGGGTATGGAGCATCTGGAAGAACTTAATTGTTGTTTTTAAAGAGTGTTTGGTTTTTTTTTTTTTTTCCCCAGTAGTCCTGCTCAGATTACTATTATATAAGGATTTTGCAGTTGTATCATGCACTCTGAGGAGTTTCAAGCTTGAACTCTAAAGGCTTAAGTACTTGCTGATGAAAATGTATACACTACTAGCATAAATGACTTAAAATATAGTCAGCCATTATGAGAATGGGGAAGTTTATAACTTCCCTCTATAATATCATAGTACCTGTGTGGGAAGTAATCTAATAACTCTTTCAAAGCACAGAAAACTGTGCTGAAATAACCTCTAATTTTAGAACTGTTCTGTTTTGCAGTACCAAGGAGTTACTACACAATATAGTGATTGAAAGCAGCAGGCCCGCTCCAAGTGAAGACTGTTTTATACTGTTGAAACATGCTTTCTGTTTCTAAAACCAGAAATGGCTATAGTTCTTGCTGACATTTAGGATTTAAAAAATTGTATTCGGTGGATACAGCCTTCATTGGTATCTTGTTTATTGTAGTGGAGAGATACCTGTGTATATGATGGTTAGGTGGATGGAGGTGAGAAGATGTGCTGAGATCTTTTGAAAGTCTTGTGCCACTTTCTTCACAGAAGATCCTTGAGAATTCTGTAGTATTAAATACTGTGACATAGGCTAGATGAACCAGCCTGCTGACAGCTCCCTCTGCATCTGAGCAGCAAAGAGGTGGTGTGTGGGATCAGGGCTGCAAGTCACATAAAGGTTCTAAAGTCTGACATATGAATTGGTAGCATAGCATTTCTTTAAAATACGCTTGGGAGATGTGCTAAACCAGGCCTTTACCAAGATATTTTTGATACTTGTGCTACAGCCTGAATTAAATAAGTAGATCTTTTAATGCCACTTATACATAGATGTCTTCAAAGCAGCAGCTTTTTGTGGCTCAAATTAGTGCCTTTGACCAATGTTCTGAGTCTAAAAGGCGTTATGATTATGTATTATGAATATACATGATATTTGGAATTTGCTCCTTATTTATAGGCAAAACTGGGATATAAGATTTTTTTCACTTGTCTTAACAAACTTGGTAACAATTAAATTCCAGAAGAGAAAACAGTCTGCTCTATATTGGCAGTACAAGAATTCTAGTAGCTCACTTTTCCTTTGTACACTCACCACTGTTATACTCAATACTGTTTGCTGCATCATGTTACCATGACGTCTAGCTCAAACTTAGTATTTCAAGAGGCTTAGACTTATGTCTTAGTAAATTCTTTCCTTTTCAAAGTAGCCTTTCAGAAAGACACAGGCGTTCAACTGTGACCTTATATTAACAAGGTCTGTTTGTCTCTTGCAGAGTCATTATTCAACAGGAGGGTGGAGGAGAAGTCCAAAGAACTCTTTTTCACGCCCCTAGGCTGGCACCACAGCAATCTGGATCTGCTAAGAGAAGAGAATGGGGAGAAACAAGCCATGGAAAGGCTGCTGTAAGAAACATGTAGAAAAAGAAATTTGTGTGTCTTGAGTAAAAGTTCCTGAAGCCCCTCTATTCCACCAACTTTCAGTGGGACTTGATTTACAGTGGACGATACAAGGAACTGATCTGCATTAAGAAAACAGCATTTTTACAGTACATTTTGATTGCTTTTTTCCCCTGTGATTTTTATATATTGAAGTACCAGAGTTGACTGTAGAATGTTCTAGGCAGCTGTTCCTTCAGAGGACTTCCTGCACTGTAAATGCTAAGAAATTTACTTCTGAAATGTGACTTCAGCTAATCACTGCTCTGTATTTTTCTCACAAGAAATGTTATTTGTTTTGCCTTTTTTACAGGTCTGCTAATCACAACCACATGATGGCACTGCTTCAGCAGCTTCTGTACAATGAGTCCCTGTCACTGTCCTGGAGGGATATCATTGTACCTGTGGTCTGCCAGGTAGTTCAAACTGTACGGCCTGATGTCAAGAACAGAGATGATGACATGGATATCCGCCAGTTTGTCCACATCAAAAAAGTAAGTTTCAAACAGTGGATTTAGGGAAACAAAAGGATGCAGCTGCTGGCAGCACCCATTGTTTGAAGAGAAGAGTCCCCTTCCCACTGCCCCCAGCATGTTCAGTGGTGTAATTGGCCAGCATGGCCTTTGGATAAGGTGGGGTTCTAGGAAAAAGTTGCACAGAAGGAACTTTGAAAGGAACTTTCACATCCTGTGAAAGGTGCTTTAATGCCCTGGAGCTGACCTCTTCTAGGCTGCAGAAGGTAGCAAAGAGCAACATCTCTGTAATGACTTGCTTCCTTTTTTGGTTTCTGCTTGTTTTGTGCTTGGATTGGAGATGTACTGAATGCTGGATAAGTAGCTTGCAGGACTCTGTGTAGCAATCTACTGCCCTATAACTATCCATTATGGAGGATTGAACTGCTCCCATGCCAAGTGCAACGACTTTCTTCAGGAGGAAAACTTAATTGTTATGGGATGGTGCATCCAGTTCTGCCAGTTGGCCAAGTGTTGACATTGTCGAACTGTAAGGCTGGAGTTGTGGCAGGCAGAGTTTGTTCTGAGAGGCTGATGTGAAACTAACATCCAAGGAGCTAGTGTGACTGAGGATCAAAGGCTCGGGCTTATTTTTCTTTGGCAAAATTCACCTCAGAAGGCCTCTTTTGTTTGGAAGCCATGTAAGATATGTGGAGAGCCTTATGATTCTGCTGATAGCTCTGTGGCATCTCTTCAGGCAGCATCAGTTGTTGCTGCCTCTCCTGAAACTCTAGTTCAAAAAGCAGGTGTTCAGAGGTGAAAGCTCTTCGTAGCTGTCTGCTGTTTTCACATGCTGATAACAGAAATGTCCTCTGAAACACGTTATTCGGAAGCTTGTTTCATGTTGTTTATTACTCCTGTGATTGGTTGTGACTGTAGGCACACCAGTCAAGTGTTTGATGTGTTCAAATAGTAGGTAGAGGTTTGTTTGGTTTTCTTTCCTCCCCCTCTTCCCCCCCCCTTTTCCTTTCCTTGCAATTTGTTTGTTAGTGGCAGTGGCATGTGCAAAGGCACGTGCTCCCCATGGCTTACAGAAGTTAGGTTCCCTTATTATCTTCCAGAGTGTACCCGGTTTAACAAACATGCATCTCTTGGGAGGGGCGTAGGGATCCTGGAACTTAATACTTTTTTTCATGTTGTTCTTAGTTTGCCAGACTTTAAAGGAAGAGTTGTGTGTCCAGCATGACTGTATCTGATCTTTCACCTGATAATTGAGGGTGTAGCTGAAGCTTGCACATCAGCTACAATAGGTATTCTATGTATTAGGTTTACTGCATTAGAAGTTATGGGAGTGTATGAGAGTTCTAAAAATGTTTTTTGCTTTATTAGATCCCTGGTGGAAAGAAATTTGACTCCATGGTGGTGAATGGATTTGTTTGCACTAAGAATGTTGCACACAAAAAGGTAATGCAGGATTGATTAATCAAGTGCTGGCTGTAGCGCATGCTGAGGAAACAGGTGTACTGTGACTTCCTTTTTGTGTTGTGAAGTTTCTCTCAGCGCTCAGGAGGTTTGCGAGCTTTCTCTAGTTTGAGACCCTAAACAAGAATGGCTTTTAAAACATTTATTTTCCAAGCTGCTTTGTTTTAACCCAGAGATTCGGGGGCGAAAAAGGGGGGGAGCTTTCCTCATGCATGTATAGAAAAACATCCTTTCCACCCCTACCACCCCAGAAAGCATCTAATAATTAACCCAAGTTTTAGCCAGAAAAAGGCATTTGTGGTTCTGACTTATGACAATGTACTAAAGTGAGCCTTTAAATAAGGGAGGAGGTCAAGGTAGAAGGGATCTGGATGGAGGCTCCAAAGCGTATCAAGACTTCGGGGTTCTTGGGGGTGACTGTAGAAACCTCTAGCATTGTACTCTTACTGGACAGTAGCTGTGAAATTCTAACAACTGGGTGTAACATCTTCATAAGAAGGAAGAATGTGTAGTTGGGTCTGCAGGGTGGGGATAGTTGAGACACTTTTTAGGAGGGGGGAAAAAAAATCAATCATGGGAAGTCTGTCTTTTTTTCTTGTGTACTTTTTCCCTTCCAGGTGTTTGCATTTTTGTTTTAACTATTTTTGTGTCTTTCTTAGATGAACTCTTGCTTAAAAAATCCCAAAATTCTTCTGCTGAAGTGCTCAATTGAGTACCTCTATCGAGAAGAAACAAAGTTTACCTGCATAGACCCTATAGTACTTCAGGTGAGAGTATGCTTTTGTTCTTGGTTAAAATTGCCTGAGGTCTAGTGATTCAAACAAAATGATCATCAGTGCACATCTGATTTTTTCAGTGTGTAAGGTGGAGTTGAGTGAGTGGGATTGCACAGGAAAAAGAAAAATTTCCTCTTCTAGCAGCTAGCTAAGAAAACTGCTGCAGTAAATACAGTACGAACTTGTAGTCTTGTGCTGAGGGTTTTTGTCATCAAGTTACATGTACTGAGATTATGATCCTCACAATTAAGTACAGCATTTTAGAAAACATGTTTTGTTTTTAATGATACACTGTATAAGGAACATACGGTTCAGAAGGTCAGAGATAGATATGGTTTAGGAGGTCAGAGATAAATATGGTTTAGGTGCACGAAGAAATATTAGAAAAGTTCGTGTAGGTGAGGGTTAGGTTGTACCTATGTTATTTCTTGTCAGGCATGAAAAAATGGGACAACAGCCAACCTAATGAAGTGACAAACTACAAAATGTCACTTTGGAACAGGTGCCCTGCCCCTGTGAGCAGGGAGGTGCCTTAAGTATGAAAATGTTGAAATGGATAGACCTTTTCTTTAACACACTGCATTCCTGTCTGAAAATCAGTCTTCAGGTGTTTGCCAGGATGCTTGTAACAAGGGTATTTGCCCTACTGAGCTTGGGCCATAATGTTTGTTTCTGTATTTGGCTATTTCCTTAGCATGCATTTAAGACCACTTCTGTTTGGTCATTAATAGACAGGATTACAGGTATGAAAGTTTTAGCAATAAAACTTGTCTCTGCCTAGTGAGTTGGTTTTCTAGTAAAAGCTTAAACTGAGACCTGTCCTTTCTCTGAATGGGGGTAGAAGTATCCACTATACTTTCTAAATATTGGTCTCTGATTATTTCAGTGTCTGCTTCAGAACATGATCATAATTGTTTGTGTATCTGCATTAAAGTCCTATAGGACAGAAAATACTACAGAAATACTAGTTCAATTGAAAAGGTTAGCTTCTAGCAAAAGCTTTCTTTGCTACACTAACATGAACGTTTGTGTTCTGAGGAGCTGGCAAGCTGCTTTTGTGGTATCTCTTGCGCAGAACTTTTGAAACCTGACTAATGTGAGCTGCAATAACACAATTGAGAATACCTGGCGTGGGAAGCTGTATACTCTCTCTAGCAGTGGAGGCCTTTAGTTCTGATACAGTTGCAGCTCTGCTTTCTCTTTCTGTGCATGGTAATAAAAGTGTGGGAGGGATAGTGAGTGAAGCCAGAAGGTGGCCATGGTTAGAAGAGCAATTCTGCAGTGCACAGTATTTGGGATCCCACTCCAGAAGCACTGTCCCCAAGTACAGATTTAGGGACTGAGTGTCTGTGTACACAGACTTGTAGAGGCATAGAGCACTGGCATACTCTTTGTGAATGGAAGTGTCTCGGAATGCCAGCACTCAACATTAGCATGTATCTGAAGGTGGAGAACATAATTGCAAACAGCTTTGGTTAGGGTGCTCTAATTCTAGCACCTTTTGAACATAAAGCCTTTTCCCATGTAAGAATGTAAGGTGCATATACATATGTTTGGATTCTGCTGCAAGTCTCTTACTTCAGGCTCTCATTGGACTATATCCTCATGTGCAATTAGTGTATATAACAAATTACTGATAAACTGGGTGTTGTGCTGTGGGGGTGGGGAAATGTGCACAAAGGGGAACTGATGGTGATTTCTGGATAGCTGGTTTCCTTGTTTTATAGGAAAGGTCAGTATATAAATGAGAGAGAAAGTAATATTAAGCATTTAAGTGTTTTTTCAGATGGGTTTGCAGTAGTTAACTGCCATACTTTGTTCCTGTCTGCAGGAAAGGGAGTTCTTGAAGAACTATGTACAGCGGATAGTTGATGTCAGGCCTAATTTGGTCCTTGTTGAGAAGACTGTGTCCCGAATTGCCCAGGACATGCTCTTAGAGCATGGTATTACTCTGGTCATCAATGTCAAGCCGGTGAGCATTTCCTGTCAGAGTCAGGCTGGGCCTTGTGGTGGATGTCTGTAATTTCTCCTTGTAACAAGCTTCCTGGAGAAAGCAAACAGTTGTCTTATTTTTCTCCTCTAACCAAACCTGGGCTCTTTTTTAATGGTACTTCTCTTCCAAGAAGGCAAGACAGGCAAACCTAGAGAGTAACTTTTCCGCAGCTCTTCACAGCTACTTTGCTGTGTCCTTGCTTGGTAGGTCCTTGTACCCTAGCTTGGTTCTAGTTAACTCTGACTCCTATTTGTAGCAAGTACAGCATGGGTCCTCAGTGATCTCCAGAGAGCCTCTCTGTCCCTGTGAGGCAGGGTGCAGAAAGCCAAAGAGAGTGGCTGTGGGAGTTGGCTGAGCTCCTGATAGCCAGCACTATGCTGAGTGCACTGTACCTCCTGGAACTTTTTTCACTTGAACAGATCCAGATATTTCCAAGGAAGGGCACAATCTTACCCCTCACCAGAAATATTTACCCAACTGCTTTTCTGAGATTCTTGTATATTGTGGGTATGTGTTTGTGTGACTGGGTTTAACCCAGAGTTTGTGTCTCAGTGAGAGGTTTCCTGGATCATGCTGGCATTTCCGCCCCCCCTTCTCTTCTCCCTGCCCCC